GATTTGTTAAAATTACACTTAATGAAGTTTTTAAAATAATAAAGTAGTTACAATTACATAATATTTCTACTTCAATTCGTTTTTTAAATATAAACATTTAAATGGTGGCTGTCATAAAAAAAATATAAATTAAACATTGAAGAACAATAAAAGTTATGAATATATTATATGGTGCATATATTTAGCAAAATGCTCCTCTGTACAGTTGATTTTTCTAGCTGAATAATGAGATTATGGTCACCGAATATGTTTTCTTCTGAGGTAAATATGACGTTGCGTGACATTGTTTACAATATGTTATACTGACGTCTGAAACACTGATTGAGCGAATACATGAAACAGGATAAGGACTGTAAAGTTGTACTCTTTCTTTTAACTTGCCTTCGGATGTTTAGTTATGTTTATTTTGTGCTGAAACTGGTATTAATGTGGAGGAGATGATCAGTTCACATGCGCCTTGCGCTGCTGCTTTTATTGAACTGAGGCACGCCGCGCTATAGTGATCACTCCGCATTAAACGGCGCCAAAACGGCATTTATTGTTTGAATTCTGCAATACAATGAACATAATTTGAAATCTGAGACTTTGTTTCATCTTAAAAGTACCAAAGCACAATGCTTATTGCGATATATTGGATGGGAAGTGTCCCTCAATGTCCCATTCATTAACTGAAAACAGGCTAGACTAATCGATTCTTGGGATTTAAGAATCAATATCGTTTCGTAAAAATGAGAATAGATTATAATCGAGATATCGATATTTTTTACCCAGCCCTAATTTGAACTGTTTTCTGTTTGAATATTATTTGAAATTATTATAATATTTCACAATATTACTGCTTTTATTATATTTTTATTAAATAAATGCAGTTTTGGTGAGCATAAGAGACATAAAAAATATTAATTATTCCAAACTTTTCACTGGTAGTGTATGTGTCACAGTTGAATTTATTTCATTTTTTTTTCTCCATACAAGTCCTAAGCCGTTTGTGCTGTTGAAGTTGTTGTAGGGAAAGGGATAGTGTGGGTCAGTGTGTTCCCACAAACGTGGAAGTCTTGGCTGAATTAGGCCAGGTTGCTGTTATAGGTTAAGTCCTTTAGGCAAGATCACTGTATGCTGGCTAAGAGGCCGGAGGTGACTGGAGTATGTACTGTTCTGCTCTGTTTCTTTGAGAAACAAATAAAAGGGCTCACACACTTTATCATGCTGATATTACCAGATTAGAATCTGATCTGGCTGATGTGAAATGGTGTGTGAAATATATCTTGCATCCTAAGAAATTGTGCAAGTGTTTATTTTACAATCCTGTCATGTAATGTGGCACTGGCTCTGGTCCAAACCCTATTTTTTATTTTTGTTTTAAAATAAATTAGTGGTGTTTTTCTGTTTTTCACTAAGCGAACACAAATAACTTAACAATAGCAAACAATATAAACAGTAATATTTAGGAATCTTTTTTTTATTTTTACCAAAACATTTTTAAGCTTGTAAAATGTCGTGCTGAGATTTCCGTGACCGTTTTCACTAATAAATGGTGTATAAATTGAGAATTTCTGCTTATGTTTTAGCATAATACATTTAAAAGTTAATGGTCAAACATATCTTTATAACATTTCACAATGTTATTGTAGATGAAATAAATGTTTTCCATCAGATTAGATATTGATTAGGCTATCAATCACTCAAACCCCTTTATGTAAATCTCTCTACTTAACTGTCAATCATGTATTCAGAGCACAGTGGCTTGTGGCCAATACTATCCCTTAAATTGTGCACGGATCTGCACTTTGAATTTCCAGTGGAAATAGTTTAAGATACTGATTTCATCATACTACAATTTGGGACACACTAATTCTAATTTCGAATACTATTTAGGAGCGTCTCTGTGCTACCTAAAAAGTAGATTATTTGTGGGCAGCTAACTGAGATTTTTTACTCCTGCAATTCTTCTCTGTAAGCAATTTACATTTGATATTATTTTTCCTTATCAGGGAGTGTGCGGCTGATCCGACCTGCGTGCTGTGTATGCAGTGCTTCTTAGGCAGCGTTCACAAAGAGCATCGCTACAGGGTAAGAGGAAACGGAGACACATGCAGTAGCCACTTCTCTTTAACATTCTTAAACCTCTCGCTCAAGTATGTATCAGCATGTTGGCATGAGAGGCTCAGAGAAATTGTCAAATACCAAGTTTATGGGTCCGACTGCCGCAGGTCAGTCTCATTTGGAGCAGTAGAAGCTGGCTGCACTAGTGCCATGTGGACCCTGACTTCTCCCTAACAAAAGATTCCTGTTTACATTTGTCCAACCAAACTAAGTCCAAGAAGTCATTATGGCTCAACCAAAATGATAGTTCATACTTTTTCAGCATTTAAAACTGAGGGCTGTGACTCATGGTGCGGATCTTTGTAAAGGTTACAGGACAGATGGAGCTGTTGTGTTTGTGAAGATCAAACAGTCAGTCTAACAAAATGAACAGACTGGTCTCTAATTTAAGTGCTGTTTCAGTTTTACCACTGACTTTGTTACTGTTCTGTTTGAAACGGGTTGTCTTCATACAAAAATTATTTTTTTTAAATCATAAAGGTTGAGTTTTTTTTTTTTTTGTGGAGTAGTATATTTGATGCATCCGGCTTTAATAGCTCATATTGTATGATCTAGGAGAATATGGAGCTCATATTCAAAAGCACCTCAGCTTCCTCAAACTGAGGAAGCATGTAATTTGGTGCACTTGCTAATATTTATATAGCCAAAAACTGAGATGAAATTCTGACAGCTTGTAATGTAAATCAGTGAGATCTTCATAACAGTATACAGTGGGGAAAATATTTATTTGATCCCCTGCTGATTTTGTAAGTTTGCAAAACTTGCAAAGAAATGAAGGGTCTATCATTTTTATGGTAGGTTTATTTTAACGGATAGAGACAGAATATCAACCAAAAAAATCACACATTATATAAAGGTTAGAAATTGATTTGCATTTGCAGGACAGGTCTGTTATTTCTAAGATACAGATGTAGGAGACTTAAGATCAACTCTTGAGCCGTCATGTGCTGCTGTCTTTGTGAGTAAGTGGCTCTTCGTGCTCTCTGTAGATGACCACCTCAGGAGGAGGAGGTTTCTGTGACTGCGGTGACACAGAGGCCTGGAAGAAGGGCCCTTACTGTCAGAAACATGAGCCCAATATCAGCGACTCTTCCCAGAAGGTAAGACACCTCTTCCTCTGTGACACTGAATCAACAAGAGAAATGGGAATTAATGAGGAATTTACTGATTTTGATTTCAATTGAAACAATTCCCAACCCTACTTGGCAGTACCACATAAATACTTCAGCATGATGTAGTTTTCATAGGCGCAACAGTACATCTTGTTAAGGATTATTTGAACAATGTATGGGTTAAATTGGAAACAAACTAGGCTTGCTGCGATAGTCGGTCTTGACGGTGTTACCGGTGTTAAGCCACAACACCGGTTACGTCACTGGTTCCATAGTGTTTGCTAGGGATGCACCGATACCACTTTTTCCAGTACTCGCCCGACGATTTATTTTCCAAAGCCACTCATATAATGCAGAAACACTCAAGCAAGCAAAACACGCAACGCGTGCACGTATTTGTACTGGTGCAGAATGAGAGGGACAAGTAGAGTACAGCCTAGCGCATTTCACACAGGCTGTTAGTTTCACTTTCACCAGAAAGTCGTGTATGCTTAAGTGTGAAAATAAATGACGTTTATAGTGAATGCCCTTATAAATTGTCTTATATTTACGATTTAGTTTTAATTCAAATGATGCGTGCTAAGTGAGCGAACATCAATAAAGATCACACGACAGAAGTGCGCGCTCTCTCTCTCTCTCCCTCCCTACCTCCCTACCTCCCTACCAACCATTAAGTAACTTGTGCATTGTTTTACTTACTTCTTTTTGACACATCCGACCGAACTACAAACTTTCCAGTGATGTCTGTGAGAAAGGGATATTCACTCGACAAGCT